GATTGATTATAAAAATCACAGGTTAGTTGTTATCGGACTTATGGACAAAGCGTGTTGATTTTGCAGCGCTTTAAAATGGTAAGATTAGACCGCAGGCATGTGCTGTTCCAATGGCAAAGTGTCTCTTCCGTTACTTGGGGAACCAGAAGAACCTTTGAAACTCTCTTTTTATATGATGCTAATGAGTCATGGCGATTTTTAAACAGGATCCGGAAATATAACTCATGCTTTCAAATGACGTCCTTCGGAGTTGACCGGGAAATAATAATGCCGGGATTTTCGCCTATACTTACAGTGCAAGAGCAAATTTATCATAGAATAGGTTCACTTTTGCCAGCTGAAAACAAACAGCATAAATTTTTACAAGTATATTTTATGGGTGACGAAGAAATTGAGGTAGACCGTCGCTGCCAATTTATCCAGGAAGTTGAGAGAGACACAGTGTTCAATATTTAAAGATTCTTGCATGAACGTAACATTTTAGTCAAAACATTTAAAACTGCTTTAGAAAACCTACCTGAAGAGGATTATAAAGTCGTCATTCACGCAGATCGGACCCCTCGAGGAGAGCATGAAAGGCGCTACAATGCACCTTTGATAAACGAAATAGCAGCCGTAATTAGTGGTGATCAATTTTCTTCACCCTCCGCCATATTTGGAGTGGAACATTTTTTCTGTGTGCAACTGATAAACTAAATCAAGCTATGGCGTTCTGTATATGCGACAGTGTACACGTGTTTAACAAAAAGGTAACGAAAAGTAAACAGACTAAAGAAGAGACCGTAATTGTGCAAAACGCAGTGGGAAGAAATAAGGCAGGAGTTGAACAATTGCAATTTCACCTGACTACGAGTAATATTTTGCTGTCTATCATTGTGTTGATACTTCTACTGGGGTCCCTATATTGCTTGTATCGGACATATAGGCGATGTCATATGAAGTGGATTAACACAGAGATAAACAGAAATACCCTAAGAAGGTCTATTACTAGGAATTATACCTGTATCTCAGCAATCAGCGCCCTCTCCCAATTTTATGACCTAATAAATTAACAATAAAGGTTCAAAATAACAAGAATGTTTCAAAAGGTATAAAAATAATATACTACTTAATTTACGTACCTACTGTGTGTTGATTGTGTTAGGGTTCAAGTGTGCGTGTGTGTTTGTGTATGTGTGGGTGTGTGTATGTGCGTGTGCGTGTGTGTGTGTGTCAGCAAGCGTATTTTTGCGTTTGTGTATGCATGTGTTTTATATGTACTTATAAATAAATGAAAATAACAGGATTCATCAAGCGGATTACATTATAACATTAAACAAGTCCTCCGTTTCTTCATAATTTAATGATAAAAGCCATTTTTCTACCTTCTTTTTAAATTTGTAAAGTGGAAGTGGATAAAATTCAAGAATTTTGTTTATTTTTTTATACAAATGTACACTAAGATAACCATGTTGGTGCCTGGCAAAGGGCGTGCGGAAAGCGGTTGGAGTCAAGACATTAACTATTGTACGTTTTCTTTCTATTTTGTCTTTGTAGTATGCAGTAGCAAGATGTTGTCTGCTTATAAGTTGTAAAATGTATAACTGCCGAACAGTAAGAACTTGACAATCACTATAGAGTGTTCTAGTTGGGAATCTAAACGTCATAAAAGTCATCGTTTTAAGCAACGACCTTTGGGCTCTTTCAAGTCGCAAAATGTGGGTTTTGCATGCGCCACCCCAAACTCTAATACAATAGTTTGTTACTGACTGAGCAAGCGCGTAATATACTACGCGAAGTGTATCAAAATCAGCCACATACCTTAGATGTTTAAACGCCCAAATTAGCTTCCTTACTCTAGAGGTTTGTGGATCTATATGACTAAGCCAGTTTATTTTACAATCTAAAATAACGCCTAGGTATTTGACAGTATCAGATTTATGGAGCATATGGCATGAACATTGTCGATCTTTCAGTAATTTACAGCAATGCAGCTTGATAGATATATTTTCATTGTGGTTTTCCTTGATATTAAACTGGATAAAAGTTGTTTTTACAGGTTTAGAGTAAGTAAATTCAGCAGCAGCCAGCAGTTTACCTTGTGTATTCCAACTACAGCATTTTTACAAGCCTTATCCCAAGTCTCTCCATAAAATACCAGCGCCGTATCATCAGCGTACGTAAATATTTGTCCATTATATAGTGGCTGTTGGCAAAGATCATTAATGTAAACCAAGAAGAGACTAGGGCCAAGTATGCTTCCTTGTGGAACACCATATGTAACTGCGTCATAAGAACTTACTATTCGATCGATCTTAACACACTGCATACGATCACAAAGAAAGTCCTTAAAGATGGAATGCTCTACACCACGAATTCCTGCTCTCTCTAGCTTGTCAAGGAGAGAGGGAATCGAAACAGTGTCAAATGCCTTGGCTAGATCTAGAAAATCACCAATATATTTTTGCTTATTATCAAGCTTAGTGGTAACGTAATCAACCAAGTCACTAACAGCATTTTCTGTACTTTTTCCCGACCTGAAACCATATTGATGTCAGAATATTATTCTTTTCTAAAAAATTCATCAACCGAGTATTTAAAACTTTTTCCAAAATTTTTGAGAGAGCAGGCAGTACAGATAAAGGCCGGTAATTATTTATGCAATTAAAAACATAACTTGTAAAAAAAAAACAAGTCTCGCAACTCACTTCTTCTATCGTAAAAAGTTGTGAGATCCATGTAATACCAAGTCGGTTAATTTATTCAGTTCCTACTTAAGGGTCCTTCTGTTTTAAGTTATTACGTAATTACCTAACCTAACAACATTTTACAGTGACCATATCAATTTTAAAAGTCTTTTATATTTTAAATATATAGATTGACTTGGCCATCGCATGAAACCACAATGTATCTCACAAGTAATACGTATTATATTAAATTAGATTGCTTAATGCGATTGCCAAGAATCGATATTAAAAGAAAGGTTTAGAAGCACAGAACTATGGTCAGTAACAGTTGAATTCAGAACAACTACTGTGGCAGGCAAATAGGTTTTAATCATGACATGGTCCAAACAATTATTGACTCTCGTTGGATAAGTATGTCCTGGTAGAAGACCTAGTTCTGCCATAAGATTTAAATAAGATGAGCTATTTTTATCGGCATTGTTAGGTTTAATGTCAATGTTGACATCACCTAAAAGATATATATTTTTTGCCTTAATGGGTTGAAGAACATGTTCAACTGTGTTTAGAAAGCTGTCAATACTATAAAACGATGGCGATCTGTATGTGGCTAATATTGCAATATTTGGTTCCGTCTTTAGCAAAAGGAAGTTACCACCAATCGAATCTGGCTCCTCCACAATACAATCTATTCCAGATTTTACATAAATAATTATACCGTCATTTTGGTTTAAGGTTTTTTTAGAAAAATAACACGTATAGTTATCAATAAGTGGAGGAGGTTTGTGACTACTTAACCAGCATTCCGTTAGAATTAGAATATCACATTCAAAAGTAAATCTTTCCAATTGTGTCATTAACCCATCTATGTTTTTATAAACGCTTCGTATATTCTGAGTTAAAACATTTATAGATTTAGAAAAACTGACATTCTGAATAATATTATTACAGTGTTCTGTGCTACAGTTGTATGATTTTGCCACAGAGATATTACCAATATCGATTGTTAAATTTTCTACGTTGATAGCCGTCTTTTTATATAAGTTATTTGGTTTTGCTTAATAAAAAATATTTCTGCAACAGTTGTTGCATCCTAATCTGGCTCTGAACAAAGAGAATAATGTAATTAATATGGACTCCGATAAGTTCTATTACTTTTTATAATTTAGAAGGCATGGAAGGCATGATAAATTGTACCTATTATATAAATTAAAATTATTAACAAAATATATGTTTAGAGGTGAGAGTGATGATTTTTTGTTAAAAAAATAATTTTTGTAGTGTAAAAATATGTATGAAGTGTTTTGTGTAATGTAAACCGCTAGTACTATGATAAAGTAACATAAAAGAAATATTAAATAACAGTAAAATTTTAAATAAATAATAAAAATAAATGATAATTCTAGTCATTGAGTCTTCCTTAAATTTTCGAGATCGGCTTCACTGTTAATACGTATCTGGCTGGATTTTTCATTTTTTTTTTATAGAATAGGGTAACAAACGAGCACACAGTCCACCTGATGGTAAGTGGTTGCTGCGGCCCATAGATATCTACATCTATCTTCCATTACAAATCAAAATGCAGATGCGTTGTCACCCGCGAGGACTGAGATGGAATGCCTCATTTCCAGTAACAAGGGTCTCCGGTTCTCTACACTCACCATACGAAATACAGCAGCATTAAGCTACTATTTCACGCTGGTATTCTGTGAGAGCGTGGTCCTTCCCCGGTCGAGCCGACCCATTCGTGCTACAACTATACTACTAATATAACTGCAGCATGGCTCTACCACGTAAAATCATCTTCGCGTAGGTAAACAGTTCCGTTCAGAGTCCAACAGTACATAAAACTGTGTGCCTTTTCGAATGCTCTTGCGAGTTGAAATAATTTTTGAGTCTTTTGATTTAAAGTTTCTGATATAAACACTGGTTTCTTTGGTTGTTGCAGTTGTAGGTGAGAAGTATTTAATTTCTCGTCTCTTGGTTTGTTTTTATTAAAACTTTTTACCGCTATAAGTATTTTTTCCTTGCTGATAACAGAGTTTAGTTCCACTATAATCGGACCAGAACTGGGGAGTTCAATCTATATATATTATATATATATATATATATATATATATATATATATATATATATATATATGCATACAGGGTTTTTTATAAGTTAAAAAAAAATAAGTAATCTATCCTCATAAAGCCATGTGCCGTTTGTCCTCTTTTTCTTTCTTTTTCCAAATTAGCTATTATTGTAAGTAAATCGTCGTATTTGTTAGACATATGCACACTTCGTTTTAACTCATAATTTTGCTCTTTGAGGTCTACAATTGTATTTTGTAAATTATAAAAAACGCGTTTCCTGTTCCTTAGAGAAATTGGTAAACATATCTTTTATCAAGGACGTGATGCTGTCATCTCCTCCAGGGTGCTTTCGTTTTTTCCTCTCACTGACAGTCGTCCTAAGAGTAGTTAAATCAGGCGCAGAATCGCTGTGATGCATAGAACTGATTTCTTTTGTTGTTAGAGTGTTAGCACTGTACTCTGCACTACTGAACGTGGGCGCTATTGATGTGGTGAGTGGCGAGGGAGGGGGTGTACGCTTCAACGGCATTGTGATTGTGTTCAAATGAATGTACTAGGATAGCAGAATTAAACAATTAGTGACACTTTTCAAATATACCTCCTAAGGGTCAGGTAATCTGGACGTCGAGCGATGAGTTCGTACAAATTAATGTTCCGTCCACTTATGCAAGACCTCTTCATAAGCAAAGAAAAAAAAATTCTGAAAAAGAATTCTAGGTAGAGACTTTTTGAATAGATTTGGAGCACGTTTAGATTTCGAGAAAAATATTTTATCTTTGAAGTTAGGGACAGGCCACACTTGTTTCTTGCCTTTCACTAATATTTATAATATTAACGTATTGGAAATTCCCCCTAGAAGTTAATCCATACATTATATTCAAACTGATTTTCAAACCGATTGCATTATTTGTTCACAAGAATTACAAGATGGCATTTATTTGGCTAGCTCGATAGCGACCAATTAGGGGAAAAATACCAATAAAAATATTAAATGTTACCGAAAAATCAGTAACATTGTTAGGAATAAATCCTGCAATTCATGATCTTAACGATTATAATATTTGTAGTTTTGACAAAAATTTTAATAATTCAGACCGTGTAAAACGATTATTTTCCTCATTAAAATTAAATGATTTAAATGACTTAGAAATTCAAAGTATTCAAAATATTTGTGCAAAATATGCAGATGTTTTTTTTTATTTAGAGGGCGATAAATTGACAACAACAGATATTTACACTCACAATATTATTTTGAAACCAAACGTTGGTCCAGTGTTTTCTAAACCCTATCTATAGGTTACCAATTAGTCAGAAAAAGGAAATTAACCGTCAAATTAGCAACATGCTTAAAGAAGGGATTATAGAAACTAGTAAAAGTTACTGGTCTAGCCCAATATTATTGTAAAAGTGACTGGTCTAGCCCAATATTATTGGTGCCTAAAAAATTTGATGAAACGGCTAATAAAAAATGGCGATTGGTAGGGGATTACCGTAAATTAAATAACTGTATAGAGGACGATAAGTACCCCCTCCCTGATATTACAGAAATCTTAGAATCTTTGTCTGGAAATGTATATTTTACACATTTAGATTTATATCAAGGGTATTACAATGTTAATTTAGATAAAGTTGTCGAAAATTAACTGCTTTCAATTCTGGTCAATACCAGATGACGAGAATGCCCATGGGATTAAAAACAAGTCCCAGTTCTTTCTTCTTTTTATATCTTTCTCGCGAATGATGAATTTAGCAATGTCAGGACTAAATAATAAAAAATGCTTAGTTTATTTAGATGACGTCATTGTTTTACAATAAAAACTTACAGGATGTTTTTGAAACACTTCGTTCAGTAAATTTAAAATTAAATCCTTCAAAATGTACATTTCTTAAAAAAACAGATTTCATATTTGGGACATTGTATATCTAACGAAGGGATTTTACCTGATCCTGAAAAAATAAATACAGTAAAAAAAACTATCCTTGTCCGCAGAATGCCGACGAAGTTAAAAGATTTGTGGCGTTCACAAATTATTATAGAAAGCTTATACTCAAGTTTGCTGAAATTGCGTAACCATTAAATCAACTTTGTAGAAAAAAATACTAATTTCGTTTGGACTGAAAAATGTCAAAAGTCTTTTGAAACACTCAAAAAACGTATTATGTTTTAATTTACCCTGATTTTTCAAAAGAAAATTATTTCATTTTACAAACCGATGCATCTAATAAAGCAATAGGAGCAGTTCTGTCGAATAAAAATGGAAGAACAATAGCATTTACTAGCAGATCTCTGAATAAGGCTGAATCAAACTATCCAGTTACAGAAAAAGAGTTGTTAGCGATAGTATGGGCCGTCAAACATTTCAGACCGTATCTGTATGGGCAATATTTTAAAATCAGGACTGATCATAAACCTCTAGTATATACCTATTTGGCATGAAAGATCCATCGAGCAGGCTTATGAAGTTTCGTTTGGTATTTGAGGAATATAATTTTGACGTAGAGTATGTAAAGGGTTCAGATAATGCAGCTGCAGATGCGTTATCTAGAATCTGTTTGAGTTCGAAAGAGTTAAAAGAATTAAAGAACATCGTTAATGTCATGAAACGAACAAAATCGCGAAAAATAAATAAACCAGGATCCTCCTCGTTGGACATGATACCCACAGACTTGAGGCCTGATCAACCAAAAGTCGTAAGTAATCATGTCAAACCAGCAGAATCAGTGGAGTTGCGTATGGTTAATAAAGATGATTTGAAAACATTGAGAAAATTAAGAGTTATTAGTAAAGAAAATAATACATTTTGTTATGTTGAAAAGGAAAAGATAAATTATATTAAATATCTAAGTTCCGACTCACGAATGACGCGACGCGAGTTTGTGCGGGAATTAGATGATTTTTGTAAGTTAATAAATGTTAATGACGTATGTGTAATAAAGAAGGATGGCAATAAGGAATTTATTAAAAAACTAGTTGAAGAAGTCAAATCTATGAATGATAGGACCGGTCCACGTGTACATATAATAAATAATGTAAAAACCATACATAATAAGGATGACAGAAAGGTGATATTAAATGACTTCCATCTCCTACCTAGCAGTGGCCATGCAGGTATGAGAAGGATGGTCAACAATATAAAATAAAACCGGCCAAGAGCGTGTCAGGCCATGCTCAGTGTAGGGTTCCGTAGTATCCCGTCCGTCATAATAAGTGTTCCCACTTATGAGTTTAAAGGTGGGTGGGTATCCATTATGTTCGCGCTCCAGCAGCGCTCCGCGCTCCTGCAACTGCTCCCGGTAGTGGGTACTGTTGTTTCCATCCAAGTTCAAAATGATTTTCCTAGAAAGTCCTTATAAAGTTCTACTTTTCAGATTTTTTTCATATTTTCTAAACTTATGGTTCAAAAGTTAGAGGGGGGGGACACATTGTTTTTTACTTTTGGAGCGATTATTTCCGAAATTATTGACATTATCAAAAAATAATTTTTGTAAACCCCTATTCATTTTTAAATACCTTTCCAACAATATATCACACGTTAGGGTTGAAATTAAAAAAAAATCACTTCCCACTTTACATATAGGGGGGCTACCGTAATAAAACATTTTTTTCCAATTTTTTTACCACTTTGTCGGCGTGATTGATACACATATTGGTACCAAATTTCAGCTTTCTAGTGCTAACGGTCACAGAGATTAAGCGAGGACGGACAGACGGACAGACAGACGTGGCGATACTATAAGGGTTCCTAGTTGACTACGGAACACTAAAAGTATTATTATTGGCCTAGGTTAGATAAGGATGTAAAGAACTTTGTTAGGTATTGTGACAAATGTCAGCGTCGGAAATTTTCGTTACCCGTAAGAGAGCCATTAGAAATAACAAGGATAGCTAACACAGCGTTTGAAAATATATATTTAGACCTAGTAGGTCCATTTGAAGTTGATAACAATAATTACTCTTATGCTTTAACGCTACAATGCGAACTCACTAAGTATGTCAAAGCATATCCCTTAATTTCTAAAAAAAAACCAACGAAGTAGCAAAGAGTTTTGTTACTAACTTTATTCTTAGGTATGGAGTACCGAAAGTAAAACTACTGACAGAGGGAAAGAGTTCACCGCATCATTTTGCCAAGAGGTATGTAAATTGCTTCAAATAAAACAATTAAATTCGACTGCTTACCACGATCAATCACTAGGTGCGTTGGAAGTGTCACATAAAAATTTGAATTCGCATTCAAACTGATAATCACCCTGAAACATGGAGCGACTGGTTACCATTTTGGTCGTTTGTCTATAATACGACAGTTCATACAGAGACGAAATTCAGTCCTTATGAACTTGTCTTTGCTAAAAAATGTTCACTTCCTAGTAATTTGACAAAAGACAGATTTAGAGTCACTTTATAACTACAATCATTATCCGTGTGAGCTTAAATACAGGTTACAATTGTCACAAAGAGAGGCAAGAAATAATTTGATAAAGTCCAAAGAAAAGAGAAAAATTATATTTGATAAATATAATTTACCAAGCCTATAAAATACAATGTAAATGATTTAGTACTCTTAAAAAATGATTCAGGTAATAAACTAAGTGATCTATACTCTGGTCCTTATAAAGTTGTTAAAGATGTAGCACCAAACGTAGAAATAATTAAGAATGGTAAAAATGAATTAGTACATAAAAACCGCACGAAATTGTATATCCAATAATAAATAAAACATATTTTATTTGCTTTGTCTAAGTACATTTATTGTTATTATTATTAATTCTTTCTGTAGATTACTCAATATTAATTTTCTAAATTAAATAATTATTAAAAAAATGTTCTTAAAATAAATACCTTATATATTATTTTATAATGTAACTGTTCCTAATATTTACAAAATAAAATCTTTTATTGTATCGATGCCTAAAAAAATGTATCCTTGTATTGTCACATTTTTTTTCTTTTGGATGGAAGGTGTAGTAGTAGTAGTAGTAACAGTATATAAAAGTACGTGTGTACTAAGTGTAATTGTAATAATAATCTTATATAATCAAATTTATTAATACAATAAAGGGAGTCTTATATCATCATTCGTTTGTTTAAGTCCTCTGCTAACATTCGCCCTACAATATGATTTTAACTCTTAGCCCGGTGTAGACAATTATTTCATAAATTTTTGGTAGACATGTGTGTGAAGGTATATCTCCGTTATATATCTTTAAATCAAAAAAGCTGCGCGTTGAGAATTATATACATTTACAAGATGCAGTTTCTAGCGACGCCAATGTAAACCCCAGAGATTTAGGTAAAATGGTAATTCTGCCCTCATCATTCGTTAACAGTCCCCGCTACCTACATGAGTACACACAAGATGCATTCGCCTATGTACGAACTTACGGAAGACCTGATCCTTTTGTTACTTTTACTTGCAATCCCACATGGAAAGAAATAACCGAGGAGCTAATGCCGGGCCAAAAAAGTACTGAAAGACACGATTTAGTTGCTAGAGTATTTAGATTAAAAGTACAAAAATTAATGTATGT